CCAACTTATCGAGCGATGAAGGTAAAAATCGATAAGAGTCAATAAAACGTAAGTTGATTTTTGTTCCCTCAATGAATTTTGTGAAAGAAATATATTTTTCTATCATCTATGGTATAACTTCTTTTCTTCTAGAGAAGCAAGTAACAAGTTCTTGTATGAATAAATGCGCATCATAGTTACTTAGGTTGTGGAAAACTATAGGTATTGTTTGCGAGTCTTGGTATTTGAGATTACATTCATTAGGTGCAGAGCCTCGATATGTAAAATTAAAAATAAAACTTATAAATAAGTTCAAGGAGAAAATAATATTCATTAAAGAAGTTTAATAAACAATGTTTACTCTCCAGTTAAATGGGAATGATTCTGAATTTTATCATCATTTTTAATATATATCTTGCATACATGACATTTGTCAGCGTTGAAAAAATGAAAATTCTCTTCTTCAGTAAATAATCTCATTGGCACTGGAATATTATAAATACTTTGTAAATTTATGGTAAGATCTCACATTTCTTCAACAAACCAGGTAGCTAGATTTTCACAGCTTTTAGTTTCTTTTCTATAAGTAACGTATCGTGATTTAGTGTTATTAAAACTGCACTTTACGTAGTATCTAACACTTAATGCTTCGTGGTGTTGTATTGCTCTCTCACGATTGTGTGCAGGTTTTAATAAGCACTCAAAGTCTGAAAATACTATAAATAGCACTAGATTTTTATTCTTATGATTTTCAAATTACATAATGTTATTACCACATTTAGGTAAGCTAACTTTACATTTATTGACGTTAACGCACCCTACTGTGTGTATTATAAGTTTTTCATTAGTTTTGAAGTAATGCAGGCAACGATCACAAATGTGTGTTTTACGCTTACATTTAGTAAGAGAGCTTCTTACAAGCCGAGATAAATCTTGAACCCACACATAATGGCAATGGTATTCATGATTATACGTACGACTAACCCTGCTCACTAAGCTTTCCTCTGACTCAGCATCTTCTTCTTCGTATGCCTCTTCTTCGTATACTTCTTCTATAATCCTATTATTATCCCAGTTGAAATCATAATTCGTCTCTTCACTCTCTTCTATATCATCTTCTTCTGCATCATCTTCTATTTCTCTCATCATTTCAGAATAATTGAAATCATCATAATCTTCTTTGTTAAATTTTTTTGTTTTTTATTTGCTTTTCCCTTATCATCCATTTCTACATACTGATTTTCTATGAGTAACAAATTAACATGTGTAGCCTTTTTTTCAGATGTCAAATGAAGGGGAAAAGTCTTAAAAGTATTTTCTCTTTTTTCTAAGAAATATACATTAACCGAAATATTATTTTGTTTTTCAAATTTCGGTACTTGCTTAGGTTGCACTAGGAATGTTATCCCAGTGAAATCGTAACAATTTTCATATTTTTCATGGTTTGAGACTAGATACGCATGTTTACAGGATTTAGCGCCGACAAAATGGCCCATTTAAAACATTGGTGATCGAAATTCTTAACATTTATGCAAGCTTTTTTTTAAATAGTAGAACTGGGTAGTTCTATGTAAGAACTACTATTCATAGCCTGATTTATATTTATTACTAAATTTAAAATAGAGCGCAGAGTCCACCCAGAATCCGTTCTTGAAATTCATCAATGTCGGTAGCAATGGGTTTCTGGACCATTATTTTCGAACCATTCATGCAAATCAGTTGTATGAAAAATGCATTCTGACTTAGTGTTAAAGTACTTTACTTCAGTAGTCTGCGTATCATTTTTCACTGAGACAAATTCTGCTACTAAACTGTATTAATTATTAAAGTATGCTGCTGATTTACAATTTCTAGTACTTTTAAAATTGTTTGGTTTCGCGCCCGAGCGCGACAGCCGAGTGAGGCGCTGCGTGCACTTCCGCCATGCTCACGGGCTTCCGCCTTGCCGCGAGCCGCCTCTGCGTTCGGGCACTTGAGCACCGCTCTCCAAGACGACCGGACGCCTGTCCCGCTCACGCTCACGACGCCTCTCACGCTGTAATCAGCCCTCTTGTAAACCATTGAATAAAGTATTTCACTCTCACCCGACGTGTTCCACTAAACATTGGTCCTTTGAGAGCCGGATTCCGCGGAGATAACCAGCGACCAGCAGCCCAGAGGACAGCCGGTGGTTCCACATTATTCGAAGCAATGTAAGTATAAGTGACAAACAAAGCGCGAACATGGCCGCCGTGGTCGCCATAGTGCCCGGGGCCCGGCACCAGTCGTTCGGCCACGGCAATGTCGCAGCCGTGTCGCCCTGCACGCGTGAAATGTTGTGAGGGGCTGCCGCGGCTGACAGAGCTCGCGGTCCAGTCATTTGGCCCAGCCACGGCGGCAAGCAGGCTGTGTCACTGACGGCCAAAGTTGACTAGTGGTATAGACGTGGCCCGGCTTCATCAAGCCGCCATTGTTGCAATAATCCGCCGACGGCCTCCTTGTCGGCCGTGGCGGCCATCTTGCCCGACTCAAGCGCGCGTCTGGTTCGACAAAGCCGTGTCAAGATCTACACTCTCGCGAGTTTCTTTCTCTCTCTCTTTCTCTTTCTCTCTCTCTTTCTCTTTCTCTCTCTCTTTCTCTTTCTCTCTCTCCTTCTCGCCCTTTCACGCTCTTTCCGTATTCTCTCCTTCGCATTATCTCGCCTGCTCTCTCTATCTTCCTTTTCTTTCTCTCATTCTCTCTCCCGATCTCTCCCGCCATGTCTGGACGCCGAGACGCGTATGTGTGAGCGCGCGCGCTTATCGATGGATTTGCAAGTGTGCCTGGAAAGGCTTGGCATGCAGTTCTTCCGCCATTGGTGGAAGGCGCAACACCGACGTACTTACGCACGCGAAGTGAGGTGGTGTTGTGTGCGTGTGCTCCGTCCACTGGCGGCAGCGAGGACGCTGAATGTATGCACGCACCCGCGTGCATGTAAGTGTGTGTCCGAATACCCAGGTGTCCGGGTGGATGTGTGTACGCGCACCCGGACGTGCGTGTGGGTCACGCGTGTACGCGTGTGTATCTCGTAACGCGTCATTCTTGCCGACTCACTCTATCTCTGTTGCTCTCGCATTCCGCTCAAGCGCGTCGCCTGCCGATTCGACTCGAATTGTCGACCCCCCTAACACCGCCAGCTGTGGCTCGGTGGCATATTTCGCTCACGCGTCGAATACTAATGTTTTAGAATGGACGAAGGCTGGACCGCGCTGTTCGGTGCTCAGTCGGCTCTCGGCGAGGTTGTTGGCCACCTGGCCCGCAATATTCATGAGATGGAGCCAGCCCGCTGGAGCTCGGGCATGGTAGAAGCGAGGTTGGAATTGCTCGGCGGATATTGGGGCGATTTTCAAGTCAACCATCTGAAGCTCATCGAAGCTCTGCCACCTGAAAAGGCGTCTCGGTTGGCCCAGCTGTATGCTGACGTGGAAGGGCACTACCTCGACGCACGATCTCGCCTCCACGACGCGAGAGACTCCCTGGCGCCGGCACCTCTCCCTCCCGGGCCATTTCCGGGCCCAGGGAACCCGGCTTCGGGCCGTGGGCCTCGCTTGCCGAGAATCAGCATTCCGAACTTCTCCGGGAGACGAGAAGACTGGGAGAGCTTCCGTGATCTCTTCCGAGCGCTGATCCACAAGGACTGCCAACTCACCAACGTCGAGCGCCTGTTCTATTTGAAGTCGCTCGCTCAGGGAGACGCTAAGACGGCCCTTGATACGGTCCAGGTAGCCGAGGCCAATTACTCTACGGCATGGGCTCTGCTTGAAGCGCGCTACGAGCACAGCCGCCTTCTCGTCCACGACCTGTCACAGCCCTGCGGAACATCAAGCCACTCAGAGACGAGTCCGACCCGCGGGTTGCAGAGCCTCTTGGACACCCTGGAGAAACATCGTGACCAGCTTCGCGCCTTAGGTCGTCCCGTAGCCGGCTGGGACGATTGGTTTGTCCCGTGTGGAATGACGGGCATGGATCCAGCGACGAGGCGTACATGGAAGGAGGAGCTCCATTGTTTGGAGAGTACCGTTTCCGGGTCCGAGGTTGACGTCGCCATATTCGCCACCTTGACCGACCTTCTTCAGCGCCGTTGCTACGCCGCCAGCTCTGTCGAAGTCTCACAGCCCGCACGTCCCTTCAGTGGGACAGCCGCACGCTCAAACTCCTCGACATCAGGACGCAATTACCACGCCCTCGCCACGAGCAACGATACGCCGTCGTGCCCAGCGTGCCACGAGGGCCATTATCCCGGGCGTTGTGCGCAGTTCCAGGGGCTTGATGTACGCGCACGGAGGGAGCTCGTCTACCAGGCACGGCTGTGCTTCAATTGCCTCCGACCCGGGCACGCTGTGAAGTACTGCCCCTATTGGTCGGCTTGCTAATATTGCCGAGAGCAGCATCACAGCTCACTGCACAACGGCGCCCGTCGCCGCCGCTCGGGGCAGCCCGACGGCTCTACATCATCGAAGCAGCCCCACACGGATCTGCCCACCTCTACATCGGAAGAGCACTTGACTGACGCGTCACCTCAAGCGTGATTAGCTGTGCTTCCGACCGCCCTCGTCCATCTGAGCGGTCCTCCTGGTTGTCGAGTTTCGGCCCAAGCGCTGATCGACGCGTGCTCCGAGGTCACCGTCATCTCTGCGACTCTCGCGTGCCTTATCGGAGCACGACTAGAAACCATCGAAGCCAGCACCTCCAGCGTCGGTGGCGAGTCCACCACCTGGTCCAGAGTCCGGGCCCATCTCCGCCTCGAGCTTCCACGGCCCACACCACCGGTCGCGCTGACAGCGCTGTGTTTGCCCAGGCTTGGCCTGGTATCCCCCTCCACCCCGCTGCACCCAGAGGCGATCTGGCAGTGGGCTGACTGCGAGGGCCTTGCCGATCCTTCGTTTGGCACGCCACAACGCGTTGACCACCTCATCGGCGCCGACTACTACCACTTGCTGCTACGACCCGGCTACACTTAACGAGGAGAAATCGTCGGACAGCGCACAATCTTCGGCTAGGTAATGGCAGGCCGTGCCGTTGGGCTCACTCCAGGTACGTCGGCCATCTGTGCAGCCGCCCAATCCGACGTGGCTCCGCCTTGGCACAACGAGCTGACCGCTCTGCTACAGCGGTTCTGGGAGATGGAGGATCTTCCTCAGGCTCACCGCCGCTCAGATGAGGACATCGAGTGCGAGCGTGCGTTCGCAGACCACCGACGCGCCGCGGACGGACGGTACATCGTGCGCCTTTCGCTGAAGGGCAGCGGTTCGCTTCTTTTTGGCGGCAGTCTTCAGAGCGCCAAGGCCTCCTTGGCAGCCTTGCAACGCCGGCTTCGGCGAAGCCCCGACATGGCTGTGGAGTACAGTCGATTCATGGCTGACTATCTCGCGATGGGCCACATGCGCCCGCTCACCAGCGCTGTGCTTGCAGCTACAGCTGGGTCCGTCAACTCCATCCATCATCATAGCATCTGGCAGCATGACGATCGCGGGCGTAAGCTCCGAATAGTCTTCAACGCGTCCAACCCGACTTCCAGTGGCCACAGCTTGAACGACGTCCTCCACGCTGGACCCAGACTCCAAGCCGCGCTCCCATCGGTTCTCATGCGCTGGCGGCGGCACCGCATCGCCTTCTGCAGCGACATCCGCATGATGTTCCGGCAGATTTGGATCGACTACCGTGACATCGACCTGCAGCGGATCGTCTGGGCTGCCGATCCCAGCAAGCCTCTAACCCACTACCAGCTGCTCACTGTGACTTACGGCGAGTCGTGCTCGCCTTACCTGTCGCTGCGTACCCTCCAACGCCAGGACGAAGGCCACAACTGGCCCGAAGCTGTGTCAGCCGCCCTGTGTGACCGCTACGCCGACGACTTTCTCTCCGAGGCCGACGACGTCACCGCGGCTCAGCGCCTCCGCGACCAGCTGAGCGGGCTCTTGAAGGACGGCGGTTTTCCCCTGCGGAAGTGGGTAGCCAATGTCCGCGAGCTGCTCGGCGATCTGCCTGAGGACGTCCGCTTACGTCCGACCTGGGAGCAGCTCAGCCCTGAAGGCCTCGACAGCGAGCTCGGGGTGAAGTGGGATCCACCGTCGGACTGCTTTCAGTTGACGCCTCCACCACTCCAGCCGCAGAGCACAAAGTGGACAATGCTCGCGGCGCTCGCGGGTCTGTTTGACCCATGCGGCTGGCTCGCGCCGATCGTGTTAAATGACAAGCTCTTGCTCCAGGATCTCTGGCGCGCCAGACTGGGCTGGGACGAGCCTGCGCCGATTTCAATGACTCGCCGATAGGCGGCATTTACTGCCGAGCTCCAGGCCATCTCCACCTTCACCTTGCCGCGCTGGATCGAAGTCGGGCCTTCTTCCGAGCTTCACCTGCACGGCTTTTTGGACGCCATTCGCCTCGCGATGGCAGCCGTCATCTACTTTCGCCTCGCGCCCGAGGCTGGGCCGGCGCTGTGCCACATTCTTCTGGCTCGGACGAAGCTCTCACCGATTCGCTCGCTCAAGCCGGCACCTGAGACAACCGCGTGCATGACGATTCCGCGCCTCGAGCTCCACGCCGCACTGATTGCCGCCAAGCTCCTGCGGGCCGCTGCCGACGAGCTACGCGTACCTGTCGACCGCTGTCACGCATGGTACGACTCACAGAACGTTCTGCACTGGCTGCGTTCAGACAGGCCAACCAACAACGTGCTGATCGACAACTATGTCGCCCAAATCCAGGAAGTCCTGCCTTCGAGCGTCTGGCGATACGTGCTGACCTAGTCAAATCCAGCCGACCTCGCGACCAGAGGTGCCGACATGACCGGCCTTCGCTCGCAGCGCACTTGGTGGGAGGGCCCCGCTTGGCTCGCCGAGGACGTCGACTCGTGGCCCCTAGACCGGCTCCCCGCACCGAACCAGCATTCATCAATCTGCTGCGTAGTGCAGCAGCTCGACGCCAGCTACCTCGAGCAATTCTCCAACTTACGCATGCTACTAAGCTTCCTCGTACGCATTCGTCGATTCGTCCGGAGCCGCTTGGGCAGGGGCCCCGTGCTTTCGGTCGCTTCACCTCTTACGCCGACCAAACTCCATGACGCTTTTCTCGCGTGTGTATGCCTCAGCCAGGCGAGATTATTCTCGGCCGACCTCCAGTGTCTTCGACGGGGCGAACGTCTGCGGAAGACGAACCTCTTGGTACCGTTAGCAGCCTTCCTCGATGACGACGGGATTCTGCGCGTCGGCGGGCGGCTCGAGCATTCGCCGCTGACTTATGAGGAGCGGCACCCGCTGATCCTCAGCGGCGCCTCTTCCCTCGCTTCCATGGTCATCGCCTGGGCACACTCTCGGGCGCTGCACGGTGGATACCGTGTCACCACTGCCTACGTCTGTAAGCGCGCTTGGCTCCTCAGTGGGCCCCGGCGGATCAAGGCTCACTTCCGCAGGTGCGTCGTCTGCATCCGGCTGCGAGCGCGACTGGCGACTCAACTCATGGCCCCACTGCCGTCGTCCCGAGTCTCTTCTTCTCGTGCCTTTGCCTGCACCGGAGTGGACTACGCCGGCCCTTTCCATGTACTCTCCGCCAGAGGACGAGGAGTCCGGACCACGAAAGGCTACATCGCCGTTTTTGTGAGCCTCGCCACCAAGGCCCTGCACCTGGAGCTAGTCGGCGATCTCTCAGCTGCGTCCTTCTTGGGCACCCTCCACCGGTTCGCTGGACGCCGCGGTCGGCCCGGCGTGATATGGAGCGACAACGCGACTTGCTTCCGCCGCGCTGATGTCGAGCTGCGCGATGCTTTGCTGACAGCCGAGCTGGACTGGGGATTGGTCGCTGGCTCTCTCGCCGATCAAGGAATTGCTTGGAAGTTCATTCCACCGGGTGCTCCTCACTTCGGTGGCTTGTGGGAGGCCACCGTCAAGTCAACCAAAAGTCACCTCCGGTGCGTCATGGGGTCACGCCATCTCACCTACGAGGAATTCTCCACGGTGCTCGTTGGCATCGAGATGGTCTTAAATAGCCGACCACTGACACCGCTATCTGGAGACACTGGAGACCTCGATGTTCTCACCCCAGGGCATTTCCTCGTCAGTGGCCCTCTCAACTCCATCGTTCTGCCCGGCCCCCTGCGGAGAGCTTGGATGCGCTCGCCCACTGGGAGCTCGTTCGGGGGGTCCGCGCCCAGATTTGGTCCCGCTGGAGCCGAGAATACCTCAACACACTCCAACAGCGGTCAAAATGGACTACTACTCGCCGGAACTTCATCGTCGGCGATGTGGTCGTCCTCCTTGACGCTACACTTCTGCAGTCCAGCGGTCAATGGCCGATCGGCCATGTCATCAGCGTCCACCCGGGAGCCGACAGCTATGTCGGCGCTGCTACCCTTAAGACAGCGACTGGCGTGTACGAGCGATCCATCACCAAGATGGTCTTGCTGCCTGTGTCGGCGCCTCCCGCCGCTCCGCCGCCTCCAGAAGACTCCCCGACCGACCCCGGTTTGGCGGGCGGCACGTAGTTCTTCCATCCAGGATCGAGGCGGGCGGATTGTTTGGTTTCGCGCCCGAGCGCGACAGCCGAGTGAGGCGCTGCGTGCACTTCCGCCATGCTCACGGGCTTCCGCCTTGCCGGGAGCCGCCTCTGCGTTCGGGCACTTGAGCACCGCTCTCCGAGACGACCGGACGCCTGTCCCGCTCACGCTCACGACGCCTGTCACGCTGTAATCAGCCCTCTTGTAAACCATTGAATAAAGTATTTTACTCTCACCCGACGTATTCCACTAATTAAAAACAAACTCTTTTTCCGCAGAGTTCAGAAATTTTATTACATTCAAGTGCTTGCTATTTACAATAATGACAGTTTTTATACGATTCTGAAACACACTATCAAGTTCTTTCCACACCACAGCAGCATCATCGTCATTATGGCTTGACATATTATTAGCAAGATCAGATCCTTGAATTTTCAGTTTTTTAAAAAATGTTTCTAAAAAAGTTGTTATGAGACACTCAATATTTAATAATTTTTGCTTAATGTGCGATGATAATTTCACAGATTTTAATGTTGATAGTTTTTAATGCTTTCAAGCACTATCACACTATTAAGGTGGTGCTATAAATGGCGGTGCTATAATACACGTATAGGGTATAAAAAGAGGTTGTAAGGAAACATTAAAATTAATTGGCTGTTAGTTGTACTAGCTTAAAGATGGATAAATACGTGATTGATATTTAAGGATTTAAGACTATGTTTAACGAATTCATTTTTAAAGAGGTAGCAATTCTACCTTTAGAGGAAGAAGATTCTACACTAACAGGATTTCTTTTTAACCCCCCCCCCCCTTGGGATCAACTAAGGTCTAAAAATAAACATGAAAATCGATGATTAGAACGAAATTACCATTATTTCCTTTGGGACTGTGGAGAAGTACCCTATCAAGATTTAATCGTCACTTTTCAGTCTTACTGATACATAAAGCAAAGTCGCTAAAACTGTTGTAATCGCTAACCGCGAAAACTACTCAACCGATTTTGGTGAAATTTTGCGTACCGATTCTTGACATTTCCTAGATGGTTTTAGTATATTTTTTATCTTGAAAAATTTAATAACAAAAGCAATAAATAAGCTCAAAGTTTTGCAAAAATACGCCAGCTTTTCACTTTAGTTCAGTAGGATCTGCAACTAAATAAAATTGAGGCTATCTGCAACAGAATTAAATAAGTGTGGTTATAATAGGCCGGAGCGTCTCAACAATTTTTGCAGTCATCTGTCGGCAGTTCATCAAGCTGCATCCAGAATGTAGATGATAGTCGTGCAGCTGGGTATCCCGGTTACCGACGACACTCTTCTTCAATGGGCAAGTGACCTCAGTCTACTTCCATCCTGAACTCCCAGGATTGGTGAGTGTCACCACTACAAAAACATTCTAACCGATACCGTCTTCGGTAGAATACCAGGAGACGTACCTAGCCATAGCACAATCTGCTCCAACACATCAGAGTTATGTGACCGTTACCATCCGGCCTGGTGCCGTCAGAGAATTTTATACTTTAAATGTAAGCCAGGGAAGACAGCCCCGAGAAGCACGGGCAGCCTCAACGGCTTCCTTCTCAGTAGTCATCCCAACGGCACACCCACAGAGAAGGTATTCTCTAGACCCCTACTTTTCCGATTAACGATGAGCGGTTGGTTATTCGGGGAACGACCCGAAGACGATATATTCTTTGGTCAGCGTTGTACCTTCCACCATCATGGTCTCCGTACATAGAGACTTCAAGGGTAAGAGTCAAGCTACCCACAGCCAGTTCTCCATCATCAAGAATAATAAGGAATAGATGGAAGTTCTACCACTTTTACACTTTATAAGTATTTACGTTCCCTACTTAACTATCAATCTCATCGGTTTTTTTTAATGGCCACGTAAGTTTAGACTACCTTGCCAACAAATACATTTTTACTGCAATTTTCGGAAGCGATTCGTCGACTAAGAGATTATGACTAGAGACGACTACTATTAAACTAAGTCAGTCATTCACTGGCAGTCGTCACGAGTGGAGTTATCCATCGCAAGCCTGAGAATCCCAGTGATCTATGACCCTATATTACCCTCTGGACTCTAAGCACTCAACCAGAAATCACCGATCCTCTCCAAGGTCTGCGCTAGGCGAGCCTAACAGCTATGAAGGGAAAAAAACTTGAGCCAACGGGACAGTCTCCAACTGGCAAGCATCACGAACCAATCTCCCTATTTTAGATTACCAAAACAACTGAGTCTGCAAAAAAAAGGTACTTTAGAAATCAACGTCTTCGACGTTATACCAGAAGACGTTGGGATAGATCCCTACAACTAGCTCCAAAGCTTCGGACTTTGTAATTTTTCTCCCGATCAGTCTGGGGCTTCAATAGCAGGCCAGAGAAGATCACCCTGAGGTATCCAGGCAGTCACAATTGCTGTAAACTTCAGTCAAGAAAGAGTTTACTTAAGAAGCTCACCGGTCTTTTTTAGGGCCGTCAGACGTCGAACTACTTCGCCAAAAAATATATTAGAACTTAACAAAGTTGACAGAAATTTAGGGGTCACAAAAGAGTTAAGCATGCCAAAAGTCACAAGAGGGTGAATTGGAAGGAAAACTTTAAATGTATTTAATAAATACAATTTCAGGCGTCAAGAAACTGACGCAGAAAATTTATCGAGATTGGAACAGCAGCGTCAAAATCGACAAATAAAGAATCCATTACGTGAGTGATCAGCTTTTAATTGTACCCTCACAGTAATCTTTTAAATCTTTCAGTTTTTTAAATAAGTTGAAAATGTAGTTATTTCTTTGTGGCGATAAAAAATATAGAGATTTAGCTCCAGGACTTTGTTGTTCTGGTAATTAAATTGTGAGATAAGGGAAAAGAAAAGTTTTTCTATAATTCATATTTTTGGGAGTTTGAAATATCAACAGCTTAAAAAAAAGCCCTTTTCGTAAATTATACGGGAGAAACTGCAAATCAACGGCCCCTTATGGCCAAAAAATATTTAATGGCATAAGGAACGCGTGGTATTTTTCAGCATAATTTTTTTTTTTTTTTCATTTTCAAATAAACTGTATGGATTCCGAACAAATATGTTTTCAATACGAAGATTTTTGTTTTTAGAAGTATCAGTAATAGATGTAAAGTTTATAACTGAAAACGTTTCAAATTACATGTTATCGCACTAGTGTTTCATTTAGGTAAGTCTCGGGCGAAGCCGAGACGGGGGGCCGCTAGTCAATCAATAAAGAGGATGACGTAATTTATGTTTAAGGACTTAAAAAAACGAAATGGCTTCGTCAAGTGCTTTTCAATAGGTATATGATTCATAAAATCCAATGTACAGTAAATGAAAGATAAGAAATAAGAACTAAGTGACTATTTTCTCTCTCTTAGGTTCATTTACAACTTTGAATAGTGTTTGTCACTTAAACAATTCAACATGAGTCATGTGACATGTACAAATCATACATTTAAATCAGCCTATTGTGAACTGAAGAATGCTACAGCTATAAAAAAAAGTATATAAAAAAAAATAAGGCTGAACAAATAAGCTATTCTTGTATTTTTAGTGCCATACCGTGTATTTTTACATCATGGTTATCAGTTTTCTTCAGACCAAAAATCTTTCAAAGGACTACTTGTTTTCTCCTAACTTTCCAACAGTGCGAATGCATATTTTTTATCTACCAGTTCCAAAAGTATTTATAAAATAGTGTTATACATTGCAAAATTAAAAAAAGTGGTAAAATGAGTGATAGTTACCAATAAAAAAAAGGAGAGTTATTGTTACCGATTTTGGACTGCAATATGTACTAGGAAAGTTGGCTAAAGTAAAACCAGGTGAATACTTACCCATATATATTCTATTAAAAAACCGGAAAACTACAATAAATGGTAGTGATTCCAAAAATATTACAAATTGTGAAATACAGAAAAATAAAACTGAAGGTGTGAAAATTGAAAGTGATTTCGATGTTGACAGTGATAGTGACACTATAGCTAGCCTAAATAAAAAAATAGTGATGGTGTCTGTAATGATGTAGATTGCGTAAGTGATAGGAATATTTCAATTAGTGATAGAAACAGTGATACTAACACTATGATAGTCGTTGATGATTATAATTACGATAGAAAAACTATTATTAGGGAAGAAGATGAAGACTTTTTAGGATTTAAAAATAATACTTATGAGTGTGGTGCGTGTTTTATAAGAAAAAAAGTAATTGGTTATAGGAGAAAGAAAGTGACAAGATGTGATGAGTGTAAAATACGTAAAAAAATATACTATTGACAGCATAAGACCGCTAAATACAAGTGGCGATTTTATAGTGGATTTGGTGATTTTCCTTGTAATAAGTGTATTTTTTTATTTTACAATAATAATCATGAGTAATAACTGAATATAAGTAAACATACAAGATTTATTAGATTTTTATAGATATTTACAGTTTTAATGTAAGAAATAATAGATGTAAGAAATATCATATGTAATAAAAAAAATTTTTATCTTCCCATTTCATATTCAATATTTTTATATATGACAACACAAAACATTTATTGATGTTAATTTTCTCATCCACATCCTCGTTAAGAAACTTTACTCAGCTACTTCAGGTAAGATGCTGGCATCTAAGCACAAAAAGCTTTTCACCTGGCTGCTAGCATAGCTCTGACAACTGCAAAAGTAAATAATACAGCATTATATACATGGGCGTACGCAAGTGTAGATTTTCATGCGTGAAGGTAAGTGGTCCCATCCCAAACCTAGTCTGGGGAATAAGCCGACACTAGAGGCGGGGGAAGCGTGGATAAACTCGTGCAACAGGACTCCTGACCCGCGACACCCGCACGTGACTCTCCCTCCGCGGCTGTTGCCCACTCGGAGGGGGGAGCCATATACCCTCGTGCTACAGCTCCCCCCTCGGTGGACCAGAAATCTCATGCTATAGCTCCCCAATAGGGGGAAGGGGGGAGGTGGTCCAGAACCCTCAAAAATTTTTTTCTTTATTGGGACTTATATTTTGCGCTGATGAGACTTGTATTTTTTCGCACAGTCAAAAAATAAGCTGACGATTTGGCATAAAAAATAGCAATGTATATAGGTAGATAGAGTATCAGTTTTTTATGCAAATGAGAGTGGATTTTTAATTTTGGACTTCTGGTCTACTACAACAAAATTTATAACATTCTATAAATGCCCAAAATGAGTATGGGTTACTTACTTATTCATTGAGTCATTTATTTCTATATTTGAATACATGAAACAGTTGCTGATTGTTGTTCACAAATGAGAGTACTGTATGCTATTGTGACAATGTTTTAAACATACTATATCCAATAATATATGGAACATTTTAATCACCACAATCAGAAATTTACTTTTGAATATAATTCAATAAAATTTTTAAA